CTGTCTGGTCAATTGGCCCTATCTTGCTCCCATCACTCGTTGATCCGTTGGACACTGATGCTGCTGAAAATGAAGAGGGCCAGCAAAAGAGCGAAGTGGAAAGTGGTATCCTAAAGAGGCTATCGAGATTGACGAAGATTATGTTTTCATTGATGACGAAGATTTCCCTAAGACTTCGCCACAACGTCACTTGTTATAAATAGCTCAGTAATCTTTCTGTAATGACCGGTTCAGGAATTACTTAAGTAATAAATGTTCATCAATTGCAACAAGGTCTTTGCGCTAAGTTGTAGTTATTTCTCCCATCCTATGACCTTGAAGATGACCTTAACACAATGATGAAGACCTCAAATTGACACATCCTATGACCTCGAAGATGATGACTAACCATAATGTTGACATAGAATTGTCTTTGGGTTAAAAAAAAAAAATTCTGACCAATAAGCTTTTATTACCATATCAATGGGAGTTGGACAAAAATATTGTATGTCGGAAAGTCAAAACAATGAAGTTGTCTATTAATAAAATGCCCTTGACCCTTGTCCTTTGAGCAAGAAAATGACCTCTGATTACTTCTAAACCACTATCAATCAATTCCATGACCCTAAAAAAAATAAACATAACGTTAAGCTTTTTATCCACTGGCTCTATTTTAAGATTTCCATAATATTGGGTCAATATCCCAAACTTAGGGGGTGGGGTCAAATATTGAGTCAAGGCTCCAAAATAAAATGCCACATCTTTTGTAATTAAATGGATTTGGTAGTTGGGATAATGTGGAAAATTTGTGAAGCAATAAGTAGGCCTCTATCACCATATCTATCTATGGGAGCTAGGTAAAAAATAATGCAAGTGGGAAAATGAATATGACACTTTTTTTACCAAAATGACCTTGACTTTCGCCTGAATTGCATGGCCTTGACCTCCAACCAGTTTGAAAACCTCGAAAATTGATTCAGCACCCCAGAAATGTATAATTTTGACACCAGGATCATCAAAATCGGCTCATTAGTTATTGACATATGACACTTAGCGTTTTTAATTATTTGCACAGCAGCCATCTTGGAAATATGAAAATAGGGCATCATGGGACATTTTCTATCGCTGGCAACATCAAAATCCTTTTATTAGATGTCCTAGGGTTTCTAAAAATCATCTTGGAATTTTATTTTAGGGGGGTGCATGGGAACTCATTTCTCCTGCCTTACTAGTACTGGTATGTAAAGATAGGCATCTTTTGGCGACCAATGGGTTTAATGGGACTAATAGTCGGTAACGTTTTCATTGTGGAAGGCACTGTCGGCACTAAAATCAATCCGATTGACTTTATACTCAGCACACACTTAGACCAGCACCTAAAGATGTGTGCCAAACATTGACGTCATCATGACGTAATCGCGTGACCCCTGATGTCACAATATAGGTGCATATTTTGAAGGCCAATATCTCCATAACAACACGTCCGATTGGGTTGAAACTCGGTATGTATCTAAACCGGGGTGTGTTATAGATGAAAATCTAAGTGACATCACGATGACCAGTGTTGGAGGTCTCGAGGGAATTGGTCGAGGCCGGCTCAAGGCCGCCCATTTTGGTGTGTTTTCTATTCTAATTAATTTTAATTTTTTACCATATCAAACCCTCGAGATTCTGCCGCAGTGGGTTCCGTGAAACGAACGCACAATGTACGCACGAATGAACTGGAAATGGTTGCATTGAACGTACTCACGTACGTAGCAACTTCGCCTAGCCTGCGCTTCAGCTTTCCAAGTGCATGCAAGCGTTATAACTGTTACCGCGTGCCATTGTATTCAAATCGGATGATCCGTGAATTCATGGTCATTTTGATGAACTGAGTAATATCATGCACGCATGTTCCGTGTTGCCGTGTGGTTTGGAGCGGGATTGGCCATTGCCAGACTTGTCTGGTACCGCGGTATTAACAGTAATAATGCGTGGACACTTATCCCGTTGTGTGGAGCGGGATTGGAACTATGCTTTGCCCGTGCCTAACAGCGGGCCGTCTGGCATTGTCTGGTCGCATCGCTGTGATTGCTCGGCGCGCGCTTGGACAGTGCGAAGGTCGGGGGGATCGTAACTTTTTGGTTATGAGTGGTAAAAACCTGATTCAAAAATCAAGCTGTTGTTTATTTAATGGGGATTCCTATGATATTAAGCATTTTGATAGGCTTTGAAAATAAGATTTATAAAACATGCTAAATGTAAATAATGTAAATCTTACAGAATAAAAACTCAAAATTTGGCCATTTAAATGGTTGTATCTCCAAAGGGCAAACACCTATGAGCCTGATTCAAGCGCCATTGATTTTGTTGTGTAATTTGCTTTTTAGTGATACAAAACTTGAGATTCTTTCTTTAAAAAATAAAATTTGCCGGACTCCCTACAAGAGGAAACCCATTGCAAGCTGTAGGAGCTGCGGAGGTGGTGGCCTTGGCCTTGGCCTCGCGGTTGTGGCCTTGGCCTCGGAGGTTGTGGCCTCGGCCTTGGCCTCGGCGTCGGAGGTTGTAGCCTCGACTACAACACTGACGATGACGTCAACACGTGACATGTGGCCTCATATTAAAATGCATATGTTGAAGGCCAATATCTACAGAACTACAAGTCTGGTTGGATTAAAACTTGGTATGTATCAAGACCGAGATGTGTTATAGATGAAAATTCAAGTGACATGACAATGACATCATCATGTGACATGTGACGTCATATTAAAAGTGCATATTTTTAAGGCAAATATCTACAGAACTGCAGGTCTAATTGGGTTAAAACTTGATATGCACCTAAACTGGGATGTGTTATAGATAAAAATTCAAGTGATGTCACGATGACTTCATCATGTGACGTCATATTAAAAGTGCATATTTTGAAGGCCAATATCTACAGAACTACCAGTCTGACTGGGTTGAAACTTGTTATGTACCTAAAACGGGATGTGTTATAGATGAACATTTAAGTTACGTCACGATGACGTCATCACGTGACATGTGACGTCATATTAAATGTGCATATTTTAAAGGCCAATATCTACAGAACTACAAGTCTGAATGGGTTGACACTTGGTATGTACCTAAACTGAGAAGTGTTATAGATGAAAACTTAAGTGACATCACAATGACATCAACACATGACATGTGGCCTCATATTGTTGAAGGCCAATATCTACAGAACTACAGGTCTGGTTGGATTAAAACTTGGTATGTACCAAGACCGGGATGTGTTATAGATGAAAATTCAAGTGACGTGACAATGACGTCATCATGTGACATGTGGCCTCATATTAAAAGTGCATATTTTTAAGGCAAATATCTACAGAACTGCAGGTCTGATTGGGTTAAACTTGGTATGAACCTAAACCGGGATGTGTTATAGATAGAAACTCAAGTGATGTCACGATGACTTCATCATGTGACACGTAACGTCATATTAAAAGTGCATATGTTGAAGGCCAATATCTACAGAACTACCGGTCTGACTGGGTTGAAACTTGATATGTACCTAAAACGGGATGTGTTATAGATGAACATTTAAGTGACGTCACGATGACGTCATCACGTGACATGTGACGTCACATTAAAAGTGCAAATTGTGAAGGCCAATGGGGTTGAAACTTTGGATGTACCCTAAAACAGCATGTGTTATAGATGAAACTTTAAGTGACGCCACGGTGACGTAATCATGTGACATGTGAGGTCACATTAAAAGTAGATATTTTGAAGGCATATATCGACAGGACAACATGTCCGATTGGGTTGAAAGTTAGTATGTACCTAGATCGGGATGTGTTATAAATGAAAATTGAAATGAGCTCATGATGACGTTATTTAGTGATATGTGACGGCCTATCAAAGGTGCATATTTTGAAGGCCAATATCTACAGAACTCTGTTTGTCCTGATCACTCTACCGCACATCATATCAGTCTTACATGACATATAACTATACAATAACAAAATTACCAAAATAGCCGTATGTTTGTACACAAACATAATTAAATTTAGTTACTCTTGTAACTCGAGGAATCAACCAAAGAACACAAAACATGCTATTCTGTGTTATCTTATCTTTTATTATCACATCTCTGAACAAAATTTGGAAAAAAGAAGAAGTACTCAATTTACAGGTGCTAAAACCAAGTCTGCTGTTAAGAAAAAAAGCCAAAGCTAGGATAGCATACATGCTGCAGGGCATTGGTGATGTTGGTGGAATTTCTTACATTTCTTATTTTAAAAAAATGAATTCTTGTTTGAAGAACTATTTTCTTGTCTCACTGCCTAGAAAAAAATTTTAGGGAGTGACACAAGAACAATTTTCTTAAAATTTTTACATTTTAAAACTACCATTTTTAACAGTAGGGTGATTTATGAGTAGGCAGGCAGGCGATTATCTGCGATGAGTCTTTATGTGGGAGAGAAATCCAATGTACGAGGCACATTGTCTCCCACAGGTGCTATGGCAAAGACTCCCCAGAGGTTGTCCCTGTTTTCCTCTCTCTTTCTCTCCTCTCACTGGTGGCTGCTGCTCTCCTCTGTTCAAACATCTCTGTGCCCTTGGCACCGACTTACTGCCAGAGGAACCCGTCCTGAGCACAAGCTTCCCAGGAGCAAATGGCCTTCAGTCTGTCCTTGTACCTCTTGTATGGTCCACCTTGTGCGTGATGGCCTTCTTTACAAAGCTGACCATACAGAAGGATCTTGGGATTTCGGGTATCATCCATACGAACTACATAGCCTGACCAACAAAGCTGGCTCTTGATAAGCAAGCATTCAATGCTTGAAAGACCACACCGTTCAAGGACTTGCAAGTTTGAGACCCAGTCTTGCCACTTGACGTTGAGTAGCTGTAGTAGGCAACGTTGGTGAAACTGCTGAAGTTGCTTAATATGGTGCCTATATGTGGTCCGAGTTTCACAGCAGTAAAGCAGTGTGCTAAGTACAACAGCCTTGTACATGGCAATTTGGGGTTGAGCTTGATGCCATGGTCTTTTCAAAAGAAAAATAATAATCAGGAAATCTGGAGATAGGAATTGATATTCCTTTTTAAAGAGGCTAGAATGAGAATGGAGGGAAACAGCCACTAGGCAAGGCCTTCCAAAGAGATACAGAGCGTGGGAAAAAGCTATTATAGTAGCTCTTTGTTCTACATCTCGGCACAGCTAAAGTGCATGGGTGAGAGGAAGCAGAGAGCCTGGTTGTCACTCAAACACCCTGACATGAGGAAACAAGTCAAACAAACTGGTGGGACAATTTCCATTGAAATATCTGTAGAACAGACTGAAGATGGTTACTGACCTACGGTGAGAAAGGGTTGTAATGATGAGCCCAACTCTTCACCAACCACATAAACAATTCGCTTCTACATCCGATCTAATAGAGATAAATGGCAGGCAGAAGCTCTGGCCCATATGTGGGAACAGTATTCCATCAGGGGACGTATAGCAGGTCGAGTAGCTTGTTAATTTCTGGGTTATTTTCATCAAACCAGTCTCTGTGAATTCTCTCAACAAATCCAAGGGTGTCAGATGATATCGTATAGTAGTGCTGCAACTGATCCTCAAAGTTTGGTTCAGTTCGGTTCGGTTGCAGTTCGATTTTTTTTCTCCAAACTTCGGTTCGGTTCGGCTTCGGAAGTGTATACATAATGTACATCATACAATGTATTAGGTTAATACAATAAAAAGCATATACATACCGGTAGGCCGTTCCCCTGTTCGAACAAACACGTGTGTACCGCGCACGTCTGACAGAAATAGGCCCCGCAATTTCCACATGCTATTCAACACAAGTTGAAGGATGAATCTTATTTTTATTGCGTTAACAATATTCCGTTATAATTTGACTTGATGACGTTGAGAAATGAACATCGTAAATTGCTAGAGGGTTACCTATCGCAGCCCTATCCGGCCCGGCAACTATGATAAAATTGGCGATCGTGTAGTGTAGGGCCCGACTCCTAACTTAAGGGAACAAAATCTACTTTAAAATTATGAGACAGATGAAAGAAGTTGGTTCTCAATAAACAGGTATGTCATAGATGGAGGGCATGATTTTTTTTAGGGAAATTTGGGGGTAAAATGACAATAACAGCGCGGCGACACAACACGCAACCCGAAAATAAAGATGGCATTCACCGCGCGAGGTACCATGAGTGAGCAAGTACGGTGCGCTGAATCGCAAGGTGCAAACTGCGCACGACAATCATGATTTCTACCTCAAGAAACTGTTCAAAATTGCAAAACGGGTGTCATTAGAATTGAGAAGTCTGCTTTTGATTATAAAGGTGATTTATTTAGCAATTTGACTCTAATTTGATCAAAACAAAACAGAGGCCCTACGCTACACGATCGCCATAAAATTTTCCCACACGTGCCGACGGGTTTTCCCGAAGAGTTCCGTCCCGTCTGAGCATGCCCTGATGAGCACTAAAAACTTGTCTCGTGGCAATAATTGCCGAATAGTTTTGTTTTAACAAACAGGTCCTTTTACTGTGCCAAACTTATGAAATCATGATTATTATAACAACAAGCTTGCAAATAGTAGCTACAGTAAAAAAAATAATAACTTTTCGATTCGCGATCCATGAATATTCATATTGTGGACGGATCCATTAATTTTGTAAAGGGGTGTTTCACCCTCTTTTGGGAGATTACATCGTTTTTCGTATTCATTATATTACGAAAAAAAAATATATTGCGAAAATTAAGAACTTATTCTGAACATGGGAAAGGTTTCAGACTCCATAAAAAGTTGGGTTTTTTTAATTCTGATACGGTGAAAAAATTGAAAATGCTGGCAGGTGCAGCATGACTAGTCATATAGTATGGCTAGTCATATGGGGGTACTATTGCGAAAACTCTAATAGAAAGGAACCTGCCAGTAAAGGGAATATGCAATTTGGACATTTGGGTTCGGTTTGGTTCGGGTTCGGTTCGGGTTCAGTTCGGAAGGCCAAGTTCGGCTATTTTTAGTTCGGTTCGGCGGTTCGGCGGTTCGGCTGCAGCACTATCGTATAGCAAATCTCTGAAGATCGACCATTCTTCCTCCACATTTTCACCAGTGGGTTCTGTGTATTGAAGGGTCTCTCAGATTTTTGCCTGTATTATGTTCTTGGCGACACAGAGGTGGGCAATGTTGAATTTCTTGACTGGTTTCTGCCTCGCTGTATGAGGCTTAGGAGCAAGCTGAATGTTCATCTAGCTTCGCACTAGTCGGTGATCGGGCAAACACTCAGCTCCTGTCATGCTGCTGGGATGTTCACATTGCGTCTGTCTCCTTGGCGAACGATCACACCATGGCATATTCCAACATGTGCCATCCACGTGGTCTTGTATTTGTTTGCATGTGGAAAGAGAGTGATGGACAATTCATGCTGAACACAGAGAAACAGCAGAAGCAGACCGTTGGAGTTGCACTTGCCAGTGCCATGGTGTCCAAGTACTCTCGACCATGGGGCATAGTCCACTCCCACACGGGAATTGAAATCACCAAGGATGATGAGTTTGTCTTTTCGGTTGACTTCACAAATGATATGAAAAAGCTCATCATAAAACGCTTCCTTAACATCATCAGGATTAGTCACTGTAAAGAAATACCGTAGCAGCTGAACATTGTGGCAAACAAGTCCTTATCGAGCTTAAGACACAAGGTCGTCAATCTGTCATTTATCCCATGAGGAAGGCTATCAGGGCATTTCACAAGGTTTGTGCGAATGGCAAACCCTACGCCACAGGTTCTTGGAAGGGCAGTGGAAGATGTAGCCTCCCTGAACTTCTTCTAGCTGTGTTTCACCAGCGAACCTCATTTCGCTCAGAGCTGCAATGTTTATTTGAAAGCGATCAAGCATCCTGGCGATGAGTGCTGTCTGGTGTTCTGGTCTATCGTCTCTGTCCAGCAAAGTACGGACATTCCAATTCCAGAGGTCAATAGGTGAGAATTGCATTTCTAATGGTTCTTGCAACCGCTCAGTTGGATGACCAGGCAGGCGCGGCCACCTGCCAGGCGCAGCATGACTAGTCATATCGTATGGCTAGTCATATGGGGGTACTATTGTGAAAACTTAGTGAAGGGAACCTGCCAGTAAAGGGAATATGCAATTGTAGTGAAGTAGACTTAGCCGATATATTTAAGCAACTATGGGCAAAGTTGCAGAACATTCAGAAAAGAAAGGGGAAAAAACCTCTAAAACAAAAGCTGGAAATGTCTAAAAAGCTTACAATCTCTCAGGGGTAGAAGCAATGTTATTGTATTTTAGGATTTTGTTTACTTACCATGAGCCAAAATAAGTCCAACAGCACTTGACTGACTGAGTGGGCTTGATGGCGCATTCACCCCTTTAATCTGGCTGTAACGATTATGGATCTGCAAGCTACACGACTAATATCAGAATAAGCAAAAACAGAGGAAATCAGTTGCAGAATCTACTGACTAGAGCTCTAGTGGATTGTTTACAAAACTATGACATTACTTTTCACTCAATTGTTTAATGAAAAATAAAAATAACAAAAAGCTGTAAATGTCCCTCAACTTGCTGGGAAGGGTTTTAGAGGTCTTTATCCATTTCCTTTCAAACATAATGATTTTGATCTTTTGGACAGGAATTAACTCGCAGTCCATGCATCCCAAACTGATAATTGTTACAGCAGAGTATAGCTAAATTTTAATTCCCTATCCGACCTATAACTCTGTGCCATGATTGTTATTGTTAGTAACTGGTACCTAAAGTCGCATGTGCATTGGCTATTAAATGTTGTCATTTGGCCCTTGTGTAATAGTGGAATTTAGTGAGTTGTTTGAGTGAACTTGTAGTATGAGATAATGCAGTATCTTGCAACGGGGTATTTAAGTATGGTAATGAGCTTGTGTAAGCAAATCACTAGAGACTGATGTAAAAGTGATGTGCATGTTGATGCAGCCATCTTGGCAGTTTATTTCATCAAATAAGCCATCTCTACAGTTAATGCAGTTCTGTGAGGCTTTTGGAGTGTGGCTCAGACAAGAACCAGTTGTGTAATCAAGGGGAGGGGAGGTGGGTGCAGACTGGCAGAGTGCAAAAGGCTAGAGATTTTAAACGTAAAATTGGGGTGCTGATAGCAAAATTGGAACTGCGAAAATGGATTAAAAATGTGAAATCGGAAATGGGATGCACGATTGTCGCTGGACGGGAAGTGTGACATCCCCCTTAATGGTTTTTTTTTTTTTTTTTTTGCTGTCGGCAACATGGTGAGTCCATCTGCAAATGTGCCCGGATGCCTATAGGCCGATAGCACCCATGATCATCTACTTCAAACAGTATCCCCTAGAGGAAGATGGTGTCCAGTCCAGTCCAATCCCCAGGCCCCCCCCCCACACACACACACACACAATACTTTAATTATGTGCCTGACAAGAACATGTTAGTGCGACACTGGCAATTTATACAATCAATGTTCATTGCATGCTGAATCATTATTGTATCTTGAGAATACAATATCTCACAATTTGGGTGTACCATTTCTCACATTTTGAATGTATCATAAATATTTTATATATAAGTGACCACTTGATGTGTTAATTGTATAAATGATCTGTGTTTACAAGTTCATTCTTTTTCAGTTTGTATGACAATAAGTTGTTTTTAGATGTGAAGACAGTTAGTTAATTGTGTTTGATTGCGAGATTCGATCCAGATTTCCTTAGAATGTGGTCAAATTGGCAATTGCATTTTTAAGTGACTTTAAAGTTGGATTTGGATTGTCTCTTGACACTTGATATTGTGTTGGAGTTGGAATTATGTACATTGTATGACATTTAATAGTACCCAAATGGTGGAATTGTGACCAGAATTTGAATGACGGAAGAATTTACTTCCTTGCTCGCAACTAATGTTGCTTTTAGTATTGTACTCAAAACCTGACTGAATAAGTTCCTGCATGTTAAATACAATTGGAATTCTAGTGATTCCTCAGGTGCAATTGGCACCCTTGGCTATACTTCAGGTGTCATTAACACCCAAGGGCATAGAAAGTGGTATGGATTACATCTACATGAGTACGTCTGTGGATGTACCATGTGAGGAGAAATCTCTTTCCTCTCCTCAAAACAGGCACAGCATACAGTCTGAAACAATGTGCTTTCACAAGTTCGTTCTTTTCAGTACCACACAAACATACCAAACATGTTTCTTGTCACATAGTGCAACAACAAACTTACTCTTAATGCTGATTTCACAAGATGCAAACCTTCAAATCCTTGTGTTACAATTATGGGGAAGTGCCAAATTGCCACTGTTTTCCAGTTTGTCCTATCTGATGCACTTCAAGTGTGTATGTCGAAAATGCATTCATATTGTCCATGCAACATCAATGTAACATGCATACATGTACTCACTGTTGCTGAGTTTTTACACTTGGAGCCTTTAGGAGCCTTCACAGGATGCCAGATGCCACCACGATCAAATGTAATATTTGTATGAATGGATAGATCATCACCAACCTGGCTTGCCATGTACACACCACGCATAGATGCTACACGGTAAAAATCAGTTGTGGCAGAACCCTCAGCAAACTAAAACAAAGTAGCAACAGAAGATATAAAATATTTTTAAATTTTTTTTTACGAGACAACAAGGGTAACGACCAATAATGAGTTATTTCAACCAGATGCAGATAAACTTAAGCACAGTTTAAAGGCTAGTCACAACATATCGTGTCAGATAACATGACCACTTTTTGAATGCACCGCAGTGGTGAGTTTCTCTGAGTTGTGAGTTTTCTGTCTGTACAAAGGACAAGCCAAAATGATCAGGGCGATTGTTATATTTAATATGTTTCATATGTGAGTTCATTTTTGGAAGATTTAAGAAACAGGTGCATTTTCATAGAAACTGTAATAGGTGTGGGCTTGGTTGCATCAGCTGAGGAAAATATCTGTTCATTTGCAGACTAAATGCAGTTACACCAGCTGCTGTGTGTCATTATCCAGTACACTAGACTCATACACCAGTCGGTTTGTAGGAAATCAAACTAGTAATTACAAATAGAAACAGAGATGAAAGATGTTCCTCGATTTTAGATTGTCACAATTCAACTTTACAATATTCTGTAACAGACAATCTCTGTAAAAATTTATTTGAGAGTGTATGCCTTACCAAGTGTTTCTTGAGAGATACAGAGAACACAATTCCATCAGCATCAGATGTATACAGAGTTCCAGAACCTGTGTCTGAGTAAGGAAGAATAAACATAAAATGCGGACATAAGAAGCTAGGAATAAGGTTTGCGAATGACACCACATGAATAATGATCATGTTTGTTTGCAAGGGTGCTGTGATATAAACCACTCTCACAACCAGGTCTTTTAGAACCAACATTTGTCAGAACCAAAATGAGAGCATCAAGCTGATCCTAATGCATACATGTTTAGAATAATGACTGCAGACAATTTCGGCATAGAAAACTGTTGATCATCCGCTCTGACAAGCCTTGCGGGGTCCCCTACATTCCCTGCTTCATATTTTCTTAACTCAATGAAATTTAGTTTACTTAATACTTTGTCATGTTTATGTAATACATACTATAAACATTGTATTTGTACTTTTTGCCTGAGATGGAAATAAAGTCAAGGAATTAATTTTAATCTTCTTTAACCCCAACCACACTGAATCCATCAAAATCCATATCCCTGTTTTGGAGTATTTCGGCGGATTCAGGATACCAATACCTTCATATTGAAAGCAGGGGGATTTTATGGACTGAGGATTGCAAGCCTAGCGGTAGGGCATTCTGCAAGATTTTGATGGATTCAGGATACCTCCATACTGAGCAGTCACCTACACCAACATTTTTGTGCATGACACAATAGGTGGATTTTGGCGGATTCACGATACTTTCTTGTAAAGATACCCAAGGGGTTAGGGTTAATGAAGCCAATACTTCATGGAATAAACAAGCAAAAAAAATACTTTAACAAAGTTGATTTTCAAAGTCAAATAACCAATTTTCAATGTTAAAAATTCCCATTTAAATTAAAAATAACCTCAAGGGGACTGTACATGTAAGTGACTGCAGGAGTTTAAACTTTGGTTTATATTCACAAATACGCCAGTACAGGAACTTGAAAACCCTGATTCGATTGTTGAAACAGGTTGATTATAAAACTGTGATCATGGATTGTGGTGTATTTCTCAATGGGATGCTATTGTGGTCATTTTAACTATAGTTTTAAAGTTTTAAAGCGTTCTAGACTCAAGCCAAAGCAACATATATTTAGAGCAGCTCAAGTCCATCCAAATAGCATTTCGGTTCAGACAGTCAAACTTTATGAACTAACTTTCAATTGACAGCATTATTGAGTCATTTTTTTAAAATAAAATATGCAACAATTGATTTTTGGCATGTAGTTGCGATTACTTGTGTCAAGTATCGAGCTTAAGTTTGCAGAGATGCAAGTGGCTTTTGGGAGAAAATCTGAAAATAGGCAAGAGGTCGCCAACAGAAATCTGGCTATGAAAGGACAAACATACAAACGGCATGGAGCACACTTGTGGTCGGTGATTGTTATATGTGAAGATCTACATCTACAATTTATTCTGAAACCTTGTAATATTTGATGCTTTAAACTACATGGTATTACAAAATGATGAACTGATACTACAGCAAACACAATGCCTACAAATAATTTTGTTCCTTTTTTTTTCACCAAATTTGTGAGGAAATGTTCAATTTTAACAGTATAAAGTTAATGGGGTGTAACAGGAGTTGTGCTGTACAGTCATTATAAAGCACAGAAGTATCAAAAGACCCTACCTCCTTCATCATCAACATGCATGAATAGCATCCCTTCATTCATGTCCAACACAGAAAAGAACTGAAAGAAAGACAAGACCAGTATTGTTAAACAATTGATAAATTACAATGTACATGTAAAAGGAAAGACAGTCTGCTTTTAAAAGGTTATTTCTGTAAAACTGTTCCATTTAGACTTACTACATGTATATTATGATATCAGATCAGGAAATGTAAATGTTCATGTAACATATTTCATTTCCATGGTTTTCACTTCAAACCGTCCTGATAATTGGCTTCAGACCCAAGAAAAATACACTTTTTTAAGCCCCGATGCCAACTGAAACCCCTCTCTGAACCAAAATTATAAGTAAATTAACTAAATAAATAAATAAAGTACACTTTTTGTAAAATAAATTAGTAATAATCTATTCATTTCTGAAGTGCAGATTCTACAAAATATGTTCAAATGAGCTTTACATATTCTTAAATTTCTTAAAAACACTAACAAATCAAAAATTACTTCAACTAATACAAACTTCTATCAAAATGCAAATAAAGAAAATACAGTCCAAAAGTTTTATTAAAATTGGACTATGTCAATGATTTTTGTAAAATCATATTTTGATTATGTTACAAGATGTCACATATTTTCAAGTCCTTTGCATCAGTGTTTAATCTTGGTAAATTGTTACAAAAGAATTTAGCATGTTTTGTTTGCCACATATACTGAATAAAAGAATTATAGCTCTCTCTTATCACCTACAGTTATCCATTAAACAATTAACTATCCATTCAAACAATTATAGCCATGTTAGGCCAAGTAGGAAGTTTATTGGCCCTACCATGGCTTATATTAATAACAACTGGGCGTGGGAGAGGGGGAAGGGGAAGGGTGGTGGTGACAGAAACACGCTACCAACGTTGGGGTGTATCTCGTTCCCTTTGTAGACAGAAGTGTGCACACATCGCGTGCAAACAAACCCAATATTCACTGTACAAACCACCTCGCATTGTACACGATTGTACGTATGTACGCACACAATACACATATAGCGTTGAGCTGACAGCGGGATGATCGATCAACAGTTGACCACATACAGTGTGACCATACAGAGATAAACCCATCCAGTTAATAGTTACAAACAATGTTACGGCACACTGGTTGAGTCAGGCACCTAACTGTGCTACAGCGAAAAAAACATTTTGACTTTCGTCATGTTCATAAATTTGACCAAAAAAGGTCATGTTGAATTGACGGATTTCCTTTAAACGACTATGGAGTAAAGATGCGACCTACCTGTATGTTGATCATTTCAAGGAATAAAAACAAAATGTTGAAGAAGCGTTTTCACAAAATAGATTGTTTTTATGCAGGAAGTATGAGATTTTGTCACAATGCATGTATTTTGACGAAATCCTTGAAACTTGGCAAACACAGGTCTACTGCTATTCATGGTTTAACGGTTAGTTTATTGTACAAGTTACTTTCGGTAACCTAAATTGCTGAAAAATGGGGGGGGGGGAATCTGAAACACAGTTAATTTATTTTCTTTTTTTTCCCCCGGCGACGGATATGGAACATTGATCCAGTTTGTTTCCCCGGCGACGGATATGGAACATTGATCCGAATAATGTCAAAAAAACAACAACCCAATAACACTTTTTTCAGTCCATTCTAATATCTTATCTCTCATCTGTGAAAGTTTAAATTCAATACCTAGGCAGAATTAATGGAGTTACTAAGTAAGAAAGAGCGAAGAATAATTAACTTCTGGGTTTCCACACACGCGGGCGATGGCCACTCTTTTTACCGAGAAGAATCCTCATGTTTGCTACAGCCGTGCCGAGCTAGCTACAATCCTGGCCAAATCTCGCTGGGCCCCCAACCCCCCAGCCCCCGCTCAATGTTGTCTCTCATTGCGCGGTGTGTGCTCCATCCGCTGGAGAGAACAACATTGACCGGGGGAGCGGGGGAGTTGGTGACCGTTGGAGGCTAAGGTTATTTCCAAGTGTCCCAAGCATTTTGGCCGGGATTGTCTGAATGTACAATAGCCTTGATATTGGATTTGGATATTGCGCGTAGTATGCGCTCAAATAATAATACACACACGCGCGCGCTGGTAACATGGTCAATGCACACGATTCACCATGACGGTGCACCATGTCATTTTGGCCGATATTTTTACAAAATACAGATTGTGTTCAACGTGAAAGCCGTATTGGGATACACAAACAACGTATCGTCTTCTTCAATTTGATTTTAATCCCTCATTTGGACGAAAAATCCATCCAAACCATAGTGTAACCACGGTTCACCACTGTAAATTATATAATAAGCAGTCACTCAATTCCTTTATATTTTGGTTTGGATGGATCACCGATGGATTTTTCGGCAAATTAACGGAATGAGTGAATACAAACAAATTGACAAGGATTGTATATTGTCTGTGTATAATAATGAGCCTTTCAAGTTAAACACAAACTGTATTTTGTACAGTTGTTGGCCAAAATGGCATGTTAAACCGTCATGGCGAACCGTTACGATGCACGCAACAATAAAGTTGTGATTTTAAATCATTGGAACATTTGTATTTTTAAATTTCCATTTTTGTTTTACTATCAATCATTATTATCAGGCCTAAATATGTGTTCTTTCATTCAACCTTCGGCCGCCATTTCATATTTTGGAAACAAAACTCAAGAAAACAGCTCCCCAAACGGCATGTCATGCATATTTTGAAAAATGAAAAAAATAAGACAATCTTGGCCAAATCTCGCTGGGCCCCCAACCCCCCAGCCCCCGCTCAATGTTGTCTCTCATTGTGCGGTGTGTGCTCCATCCGCTGGAGAGAACAACATTGACCGGGGGAGCGGGGGAGTTGGTGACCGTTGGAGGCTAAGGTTATTTCCAAGTGTCCCAACCATTTTGGCCGGGATTGTAGCTAGCTAGAAGGTCGTACCATTGTGAAAATACAGGGTATGAAAAGGGGTGGGTTAATATTTTGAGGGGTCAAACGAAAAGAAAAAAAAAACGGCCAAGAGTTACCAAAATGGCGACAAAAAGAATATTACATTTTGAAAAGTGATGTTTAAACTTCAAATTTATCTTTGATTTAGGGTGATTTTTGAAAGAAAGCCATGCGAACATCCCTTTTAAAAATGATGTGTTTCGAACAGCGTCATCAAATTCTGCCATCCGGGAACTTTTTACACCAATTTGTGGTCAAGTTCCCAGTATACATTCGCGTTTGCTGAATACGCGATGTAATCGGGAGCCGACTATTAGTACAGCACTGCACAAAATGTGTGTTCGCTCATACCCCCCGCCCTGCAAACAGGGCGCTGGGATACTCTGATGAGCTTCACAGAATCTTGTGAAGGAAATGGCCTATGACCTATGTATAAAGCATCTGGCTGCAGCTGTTCAAAACCGCAGTTAGACAATATGTGCAAATGCTATCCGAAAACTTCCCATAGAAATGCACACGTTCCATATCAGATGTGATTTCTGTTTCATTGCGGACCATGTGGACAACATTTTGAGCGTCGCATAATGCAATCCGACCGTTCGTGATTCGAAACGGAGCCTGAGCAAGTGAAGGGAATCGTAAATTTAAAACACAGATAAGTTTTACAGACTTTCCTACATTATTACGCTTTTCAAAAAATAAAATAACATCTCTAAACTGGAATAAAAGAGTAATGAATCAGTCTTAAAGGCCGTTTCAAACCTTGCAGAGTCATGACCTTGATGACGCTCAGATCACTGGTCACGCAAAATCCAACCAATCAGAGCATGAATTCATCAGAGTATCCCAGCGTCCTGTTGGCAGGGCGGGGGGTACGAGCGAAAAAATGTGTGTTGATGCAGTCACGATGTTTGTCATCGGTGGCAAAGTCAAAGAGCCGAAAAATCATCAGGTTAGAAGAGGGTTTCATAACTTTTCTAACAAAATGCCTAGCACTTCATTTGAAGTGCTTATTATTTTTGGTACTCATGATAGTTTACAAAGGATCTTTCCATGATTATTGTAGAATGTTGAACTGCAAATGCAATCAAAACATTTTGACAGCTGGGCGCCGTGACACTAGCTTGGCAGATATACTTGCTGTAGGCCTAATTCCCAATGGCATGGCCATTGACTTTTATAGATTCTCTGAGTCAATATATCAGACACGTCTTTCAAATCACTTTAACACTAATTTTTCAAATATAAATTATTTCATTAGGGGATTTATGTTTTGTTCAGATTTTATTCTGGTATTGTTTTGTTTGCTGTCACTGTCAGTGTTATTTCTTTTTTCCCATGACAATCATGACAATCATGACAATGTAAATAATACTTTTTATAGGCCTTCCCTAGCATGCCTAGAAATAATAATTGTGAATATTATTTTAACGTCAAGTTTCCATGGTAACGGTTTGAATTCAGCAAATGTTGACTTTTTTTGGGGGGGGAATTGGATTTTCACTAATTCCCTAAATCGGATATTCACTATTTTCCAAATTTGTTTTCCTAAATCTACTGGTGCAATACCCTTATATAACAGGGCAATTGGTCATCTGAAAAAAAAACCCACATTTTTCAAATTGTCTTCAAACAAAATCTGATATACAGGGCGTCCTGAAAAATGGTGCATGTAAACCCCTCCATTTTTGCTAATTTACAACCAAAATTTTCTGAGGATGTTTACAAAATCTTCAAGGTAATAGATTTAGCTTGAGAATACCGTTTGTTTCATTGGGATTGCTTTTGTAAATCCAGAGATATGTTTGAATAACGGCAAAGCCAAGAAACCCATTTTGTGCCACTTTCTGTGAAGCAGTTAAAATCAGTATAGCCCTAGTCTAAAACCAAATCACTTTACTCTTAGTGATTTTAAAATTTTTAAGCAGAGTGTGCAATATTTATTTATATTTAATTGAACTCTTTCATTGAAGTTTTAAAGAAGTGAACCTGTCTGTACAATTAAATTGTTTCAACATATAAAACAAAACATGTACATGTCATCTGGGGCTAATTTTTTATTTTTTTTCCTGCCTGACAACCCTTCTCAGCACCTTAGAAATCCGTAAAACAATAAAATTGGAATGGCCTAAAACGCTAAAGAGATCCCATGCTGGTAATAGCCTACACATGGGGGGGGGGGGGCACGAAACAAACATCCCCCTGGGAGTTGGCTGATAGTTTGATTGTCTGACACTGAGGAACCATCCGAAAAGCCTCCATGAATAGCTGCTATAGCAGAATGATAATTCTTAACGGTGACCGTAGTAAGGTTACTTTCAAAGAAGTATACCAGAAAGTCTGAAATCTCCCCTACAGAAGTATCTGAGGGATGCAGAGATCTGCTTTTACACCATCTGTAAAAGTGGCGTAGTCTACTGTCACAAATTGTCCTGGTAGATGCTTGTTGGCTGCAGGCTACAATGGCTGCAGCTCATTCAGAAAGGCCTGCTGTGCGGAGGGGCTGCATGATAGTACCCAGCACGTCAGGTGAAGATCCCCTGGAGCCAGGTGAAGAAAACCCGAGCTGGGCTGGAACAGCATGTCCGTTCTCTGCAGAAGAATGACTGGTCGGTGAACCAAGAGTTTGATGAGTCTTGGGAACCATGGCCGGCGAGGCCAAAAGGGGGCGATAAGGAGAACCTTGCAGACCTCTTGCTCCAACTTGGTCAGTACCCGAGGTATGAGGGAGAATCGAATCGGGCCGTTGTTGTCTCTGGTCCTCCCAACCTGTATGGCCCACGGGCGACGCATGTAAAGCGCTCGCTGTAGGCCGGGCTTCCGGTGTACAATCAACCACGTGTGGTATCTCGTTGTGCTTGGGCCACCCAACCGTGACCAATGAACGACGATTGTGAAGAATTCACCGCAGGTAGGGACTCCAGAGCACAGCTAACTGTGTGCAGTATGTCCCTTGTTCACAGGCCACCCAGCCGTGACCGGTGACTGAAGACTGTGAAGACTGAACAACGGGGGTCCAAAGGAACAACGGAACAAATCTGATGACAAGAATGGTCCCTCATAGCCAGATAGAACTTGATCCGTCCCATGGGAGAGGAATTCCCCCCGGCTTGTGACAGACCAGTCCTCTCCAAACGCTTCATAACTATGAACTAATCAATCAATAAAACGAAAATATACTCTACAATACACTTTTTTAATCAATTACTTCTCTTAAAAGCGCAGGGTATAAAAAAGCGATATAAAAAACCCTGATTTTTATATGTCATACCCGACTGCCGCTAAGAGAAAATGATGGGGGGTATTATGGGTAGGGCACCTGAGGGCGCTATTGTATTAAACTCTTAGCGTAAAATACCTGCCGGTATAGGGAATATGCATAAGTAGATTGCTCTACAGGTAAGTTGAGTGAAGTAGACCCTTACATTAACAACACAAGTTTACTTTGTACTTTTAACAAGATGATAACTGCTGTGGATCGTTCACTTATCCACAGCACCAATTCCAAGAGCCAAAAGAGGGAGAGTGGCTCGGAACAATACACAATACAAGTAATAGAGGACATGAGCCACCTGTAATTCATGCCTGATTTCAATGGTCATCAATACATTAATTTGAAATGCAACAAAAGAATATCCATAACATGCAACACTACATATCCTACAACACTGACCCCAGGTGATAGTTGCTCATTTGTTTGTATTGACCCTAATACTCAAAATGGACAAAATTGACAAAATGGACAATCACGCCTTCCTTAAACCATCAAGGCTACTACCGGTATTTAATGCAGTTTGACAAGAGACCCTCCCCACCCCCGATTCTGAGATTCACAGTTCCTGGCTCACTGATTTCTCTTGCTTAAGTGCAAGTAACCCCTAAATAGGAGACCAGGTCGGAGGAAGGTCATTGATTGCATCAATCGAAAACACAACCAAAACAGAGAGATTTGAGGCATCGGCATTGCATTACGCATGTTCAGTATGTTTTATACAATGTATCCATTGTGAACCAAAGTACATACAGGCTACACATCAAAGCCACTGCCAAGCACTTAAGTCACTTAGCCAATGTAAAGATTTCCTGTGTGATTGCATTTTGAGCTTCACAAAAGACTTTACCCTCGAGAGTGTAAACTGTAAAACTAACTTTCAATATACAAAATACATGTATATCACTACGCATGTAGCAGACAGTGATGTTCAACCATGAGGTGCCAGCATTGACTCCGTCACACACTTGTAACATGGTCTGCTGACAAACCATATAGAGTGCGGTCCACTATAGTTGGCTCAATCTTCAAGTAATCTTTGACATAGTAAAATAATCCTTGACAGTTAGAAACTATTTTCAAGTCCATTTACAAACAATGTAGTAACCAAATGAGACATGCTTCTGTGAAACTTGGAAAAAGTTAATAAATTTTGTTTTCTTATAATTTTGGCATTTTTAATTTTTATGGAAGTAGGTCTCAAATGAGATTTCTTTACTCCGTTCAATTGTCAGATGAATTGAAATCTGGTAATTTTTTTTTATTTTGAAGTTACAACCTTTTAATTTGATTGATCAATGAAGTTACACGACAGTGCCCAGATATTCATTTCAAATTCCCTGCAGAAACTCACCTGACTTTATCAGAGGCTAAATAAAAATAGCGTCAGTAAACTATCCATAGTAATTCTGTTTCTTTCCTTACCCGGTCACTGGTGACAACTGGAAGCTGTGTAGGGCTCCACGTCTTACCATCATCTTTAGACACATAAAGTATTCGTCCATTATCCCCCTGTCACAAATATGAAAGAAATCACCCTTCAAAACATTATTTGGTTAAAGAAAAAAACACTGTGCAAATGCTCTTTGTAATTCCTCGTACATTTGTTCATAAATTATAGCTTTGTGGAGCGCTGTGGTCCACTGGTCACAGTGTTTTCGACTCAAGTGCCGTGGTACATGGGTTTGAACCCCGATGGGGAAAATGGTGCTTGTGTTCTTGGGTAAAACAGTCTCCAGCCAGGAGTACAAATGGGTTCACATGGGTAGATACCAAATGTGCTGGGGCGGATTGCAATAACGCAGTCTTAGTCGGCTGGCTAAACCAGTCCAATTTTAGCCAGCTATTGTTCTTAGACGGTCTTGGTTAAGACACCAAACTTAGCCCATTGCAATAAGCTGGTCTTTACTAAGCCCGCTTAGAGTAATGATTCACAAACAAACATTCCATGGTTACGGGCAAATACTGGAGGGACTGCACATTTTATTTTTTAAGGTTTGTGTGATTCATATCATGCGATATCAAATGTCAATTCCGAAATTTTATGTTGAGAAAATTGTATTTGCAGTACAACTCAGTGTCATTACATTTTTCCAGAAGATCCCTTCTATCCCAGAGAATTTTCCCTCCGAGCAGTGTTCTGCTTTTTAAAGATTTAATCATCAAACACTCATCAACTGGGAAAAAATATTTTGGGAAAGAATAATTCAACACAACAGTGAATTCCAAAAATCCCAACTATAGACCGTTTTAGCCCAACCCAGGCTAACTATTTTAAGACTGTTTTACTACTTAAACTGTGTCATTGCAATGGTCTTACTTATAGACTGACTGACAGCCAGAGCTTTTAGACTGTCTAATGCGCATAGACAGCTTTAAGACCGGTTATTGCAATCCACCCATGATCTCAAGCTCCAGTGCAATCTGGTCTCATGGCCCGATGCACAGGGGTAATGATTATGAAGCGCTTCGAGACCTTTGGTATAAAGCGCTATAGGCCTACAGGGAGTGTTACAACTGATAATGTAGTAACCAACGGATAATGTATCACCAACTGATAATGTCACACAAATTGACCGATACTGTATACCGATAATGTAACAGAAATTGACCGATAGTGTAGTAAATGTTACCAAACCATCGGTCAATATTTGTTACATTATCGGTTAAGACCGATAGTGTAGTAAATGTTACCAAACTATCGGTCAATATTTGTTACATTATCGGTTAAGACCGATAATGTAACAACAATCGACTAATAGTGTAGTACATTTTTACCACACTATCGGTCAATTTCTGTTACATTATCGGTTAGTGATACAGTATCGGTCAATTTGTGTGACATTATCGGTTGGTGATACATTATCCGTTGGTTACTACATTATCAGTTGTAACAGGGTGCGTCAAAAAGAAAGTGACTGAATTAGAAAAAAAACATTTTTAAAAATATGTGGCTTGCTCTATTCCATAAATAAACATAGGGATAAAGTACATCTTATTGACTAGTAACTGTGAACATTTTACTTAATTTGCACGTATACTCTATTCCCAAGATATTGACTATTTTGATAAAAAGATCACAAAATTCAGCTCTCCACCACTGATCATACAATGAAACAGAAATGTGTTCCCACCTCCATGAATGAACGAAAACTTGCAAAGGAAACAGACAAAAATCCCAATCAATATTTTAGAAAAAATACTGCAAGTGAAACCTGTGCAATCACTCTGGCATGCTGGCAGTTCTTATACAGTTAGTTGGTACGGACACTTGTCAGTGCACCTAACCAAAATAGAGGAGAGGAGAGACTGACGATGACTAGAGCAGGCTAGTCGAAACGTTGAGACCAAAGACAATTTCGGTTAGAACTTACACCAGGACTGTTCTTATCAGAACCAAAAAACTACTTAGCAAAGTTGATAATAAGCAGGACAAGTTCTTTTCAGAACTAAATATCTTCTAAGCAGAAGTTATTACCACATGGTGTTACCGCGAATTGTGTACTAGTGGAATAAAAACCGCAGCGCTGGTGCCAATTAAAACTGAATAGGTTCGTTGATACAAGTTGTTTTCCTAAATGCGCATGGAAATAGACAGATAACAATAGATTTGCACTTGCCAGACCGCAAAAAGTGCTTGTCTGAACCGTCGTCTCATATCACCCAAGCTCGTACTATGCAATTTTTCCCTCATAGTAATATGCACACTTCGGTCGGGACTGACGAAATATGCTCATCTTAACCGAAATCTTGTCTAACCCGTGCTCGTATTAACGAGATTTGACTGTATATACAAACATGTACACGTTTGTATGGTCTAGGCCTGTGAAAATGCTGATTTTTTCCAGCTTCTTTGAGAACCGCTGATCCAAACAACTTCAAAAAAAATGGGGGGGGGGCCAATTTTTTGTGTGTACAATCATATTGAGGTGTCTGCGCGTAGTCAAGGGTAAAGGAAGAAATTGATAATTTTCTGGGTTTTTTTCCTCATTCCCCCCCCTAAAAAAAAACAAAATTAGGATATGGGCTGTGAAAATAGGGTAGGTAGGGTAACCGGAAGCAGAACTATTATTTTTTTGGCCTGAGCAATACACCTGCCTATTTTCAACTTAATACAGTGCCCGGTTCTGGACATAAGCAAAATACAGACAGACAAAGCGACACACAGAGATTCCAGGAATTATGGAAGATGGCATTCCATGGACAGGTATAAAAATAGCTCCTTGTTATAAAACATGCATAACTTCTGACAGCATGGATACATTTCAGTAATTTTCAGATAAGTGGAAGATCATGCTCTTTTAAGACATATTTCATTAAACACATTCATATATTTGGACGGTTGAGTTATGCATGCACAGCAAACTGCAAAGCAACCAAAGTGTTTTTATAGTTCAAATTATATGCTGTGGCCTCGTAGTTAAGGGCACTGATTCGTGGTCTGCGGGTAAAGCTGCAGGTTGTGGGTTCAAGTCCAGCCTGGGGTTATGGTGCATGTGCCCCTTGGGCAAGGCACTTTGTCACTCATTGCTTCTCTCCACCCAGGAGTAAATGGGTACCTATGAGGGCAGTGAAGGTTATTGTGATTGAATTAGCTTCCTTGCACCTATATTTTAAGCGATTATGTTATCAACATAAAATATTCTTGGTTTATGGCTTAAGTTCAATGGACCTTTCACAGAAAAATATGCATCTCATCAGCGCAACAAACAATGGGCAGCTACTTGCCCTTTTAACTGCCACTTCTTTTAAACCAGCTCAAATAGATTCATGTTATGAAACTGCATGCTCAAGGCAGTTGTCTGGCTGTGCTGGTCGCTTTCTTTGTCCACTGCATACCTCAGGGAGTTGGTTGGGTCATGGGCATCAATCCTGGGGGGGGGGGGGGGGACAGGGGGACATGTCCCCCCCCCCCCCCCCCACTTTTTGAAGGGTGGGGGACACAATATCAAATGTTCCCCCCCCCCCAGATTTTTGAACTCGTGCCTCATTTACAGGGCCCTATTACGTACTACAATGTATCTTTTGCTAAGAAAATATTGGTTGAAGTGGTCAGAAATTGCCTCAGATCGCACCATAGAGCATTTAAAATCCAAAATTTTTCGAAACCCTCAGACCTCAGAAAATGATTTTCAAATTATTATCTTTTGCTGGGAAAATACTGGTTAAAGTTGTCAGAAATTGCCTCAGATCGCACCACAGAGCACAGGCCCCGAACCCCACGCCATTAGCTGAGAATATAATAGCTTATTCAATGACTTCAACCTCGAAAATGATGTTTAAATCATTATCTTTTGCTCAGAAAATATTGGTTACAGTGGTCAGAAATTGCCTCAGATCACACCACGTGAGCATCAGGATTACACCAATAACTAGGCATGTCGGCCCTTTTTTTGAAGTTTAGGCAATACCAATGATTGATAGCTCATATGAAGCAACTCGATGAAAGAAACACAGAACAGAAAGAATTTTTAAAAAATGACTTTCCGTTCTCAAGTTATGATCAAAAACGTGTTCCCGTTTTAACGGCTTTCATAGACATTTTAGCCACAAAAATTCAAAAATCAATAATTTCAGATTTTTCAGATAAAAAAAAAGGGAATTTGAAATTTGTATGCTTCAAATCATTTCTTTTGCTAAAAAGACCTTGGCACACTTCAACAAAAGGTCTGCAATTGTTTTCAATTTCTTGTTAACGGCTGTCAAAAATGCTGATTTGTTAAAAATTCTTCAACGGAAAACTAGAAAAATCTGAAAAATTGACTAAGTCCAGCTAATTAATATGCATAATTGCTGTATCATAGGAATAAAATACACTATAATAAGGCAAAAAAAAATAAGTCTCCGGTTTCTGGTATGCGCGCGCGTCGCCGTAGCCATGCGCGTCGGCAAAATGAAAAAGTTTTTTTTTCAATGAAAGATTATGTCTCAAAACCGCCAAACTCACTGGTTTGACTGGAATCCTGCTGCTGCACAATTTTAACGTGTTTTTAGGTTATGGTCGAGAATAAGCTTTATGTGGCCTCTCTGGACTCCCATATATTTGCACTAAGTTTAGTCGGGCACCATTTGCAGTCATCAGCACACATTTGAAGCAAAAAAAATCAGGTAAAAAAAAAAAAAAAAGCCGCGTCGCCGCATCACTTTTTGGGCAAGCTCCATACCAGAAACCGGAGACTTTTTTGGGGGGGCCTAAAGGAACTTGGCACAAGTAATGTTTGTGTATAGACCTGTATTTTGACTTCTTGTTTTATGTCATTTCGCATTTTCTGATGTAATTAAAGCTAATTAACATGCAGTTTTAGACAAAATCGCCTAATTACATGTGCATAAACACTGTAACTTCAAAAGGCAAACATTTATGACCGTATAACTGGGTACGTATATTCGGTGTTTAAAGGGCTTTCATTTAGTACAGTGTTTTCAATCATCTCTATTAGCATATGCAAATTATCTTAATTTATATGCAAGTCATCCTTAATTACCTAATTACGTATGCGAAACTTTTTTTC